TTCAGTAATATTTTTTTTATTAAATTACAAAATTTTATATTTTTCAATTGCGTTCTCTTTGTTTGTAGTTAATACTATAGGTGATTTTTATTGTTAGATAAGGGTAAATGAAAACAATGAGAAAAGTAAAAAAAACAAAAACAAAATACAATGTTAGGAGATTGCAAAAATAAGTTTGGGGTTCAACAACAAAACAAAAGTGGGATGAAATTTTGTACATTATTTAAGATAATGTCATAAATTTTTCTTTTTCTGTTTCACACGATGTATGCGGTATCATTTTCATCTTATATGTGAATAAAGAATATAAAATGGATATAAAATAATTATATTTTAGATAATACCTGGATGGCTAAAAATAAAAGAATAGTCGTCATCAATGTTTATTAGAAAAATATTGGAAAAGTCGTTTAGAAAATATTGGTATGCAAAATTAGATGTTTGAATTCGATAGTCTGAAAATAAATAACTACTCATCAAACATTGAAGAAATAACATAACAAAAATCTTTGAACTAAATTTTAGAAAAAATTCAATTTACTTTTAAATAAAAATTTTAAATTTTTATAATAAAATTAATTAAATAAAACTAACTCATTTTTATTTAAATGATCAAAATGTTTTCATTTGTTTTTCTTTTAATATATAAAAAAAACAAAAAAAGGAAAACAATATATTTGAATTAGCATTATTATAAAGAAGATAAAAGTAAAATGAATAAAAGATTATTTAATTTAATGAAAAGATAAAATTCACAGTTACCAACAATATTAAGTCTTATCTTAATTCACTAAAAGAAAAAAAAATCTTAAAAGCAGTGGATTTGACTGTGAAATTTGAAGGAGAGAGTATACCCACATTTATCACTGATAGTTTCTAATCACACTTTTTTCTTTTTATATCCAATTTTACTATTTTATGGTTTAGTTTTTAAAAACTGAACATATAATAGTTTCGGTTCAGTTAACTGTGAGACCTGTATTTACTCTTTTCTCTTCTCTAGTTCCCGTTCAATTGCTTCGTATGGCTAAGAAAACGTTATTTAATAATAAAATATTAATAAAAGAAACCGTTCAAATAAAAAATTAATAATGATTTTTTTAAGACAAAATTTTTTATCACAAATTTTTATATTTTTTCATCAATAAACATATATTACTTTTTAAATAATATTATTTTAAGTAATAAAAGTAAAATATATTTTTTTAAAATTTAATTTTATTAAATGATTAAGTAATATAAATCATAAAAAAAGACTCTATAAAAAAATAATACTTTAAATATATTATATTCTTTAATATATTATTAAATATGTAAAAATATGTTAAAAAAAACTTTTAATGATATTAAAATGTGTGTAAGCGCACACACTAAAATAACTATTTATTTTAAAAATCAACTTACTTTAAAATAAATATCAATATTAATATTTTTAAATGATAGTATTTTACATACTAAAACTAAAATATATTTTTAAACGTTAAATTTTATTAAATGAATATATAATGAAATATCATAAAAAAATAATAATGTAGCAAAAATAATTAATATTATAGAAATATCAAATGACAAAAGAATTAACAAACGTTTATTAAGAGTAATTTTTCTAGTATCATCTTTTATTATATTATAATAATTAATAAATATTAGTTTAATTTTTACATAATAAAATATAAATAATAAATAATTAATTAAAAAAAAATTTACGAGGGAATAAAATAAATATAAATAAAAAATTATTTTAAAATAAAATAAGTAGATAAAAAGATAAAATAAATTATATACACATATAAAACAAAAAAAATATAAATAAAAAATTAAAAAAGTAAATATAAAAGTAAAATAATATTCATGACAAAATAAATATAAATAATAAATAAAAAATAAATTAAAATAAAATAAATAATAAAATAATCTTCATACACATATAATAATAAAAGAAATATAAATAAAATAGAAAATAATAATATCAAATAATTAAAAAGTTAATTTGTAAGACACTTATGAATAAAATAAAATAAATATTAAAAAAAAATTCAATTAAAAAGAACATGTATTATTATACTACTCAGTTTAAAAACTAGTACAATTCAGTTTAAAAACTAGTACAATTGAGTTTAAAATTAGTATAATTCAGTTTAAAATTAGTATAGTTAGTAGTTCAGTTTAGTTTATATTGTAGTTTAATATAATTTAGTATAGTTCAGTTCAGTCCAGTTTAATAAAACAAAAACCAGTTTAGTTCAGTTTGTTTGAACTGTTTTACAGCTTAGTTCAGTTTATACAAATTAGTTTTTAGTTAAGTACAGATTTTAATAGTACAGGGCAGGGTAAAAAGTGTTAATGAAGAGATATTATACTGAAGGTGAAAATTTATTATTTTTTCTATAAAAATAAAATATTAATAAATGGATATTCGAAGTAAATACAAATACATATTATATTAGTTGATTGACTATGGACAAGTATACGAAAGTAGAAGACAAAAATACGAAGACAAATAGAAAATGAAGCTGATTTTGAAAATGATTATTATAAGCATTAACAGCCGCCTTAAATTGACCCAAATTTTGCAGTGGAGGATGGTTTTAGTTGGATGCTCGTGGTCTTCACGAACCATCACACTCTGTTTTGTAGTTGGAACTCAGATTTTACCAATAATGGTGAAAACATACATTTGACGGATAAGAATGTTATATTCACATATTCTTGTCTTATTTTTCTTTATATATTTTTAGTTTAAATACTTTTTTTATTCCAATTTTCGTTAAAATATTTCAAATTATTCTTCAAATAAATTTGTTCCTAATTTTCGAAAAATTAACGTAATGGTACCTACTGTTTTAATTTCTATACTTTTACTCGTAGTAAAAGTATCGAATTCGTTTAAAGAAATAATTAGCCTTTTAAAAAGTAGAGTTTAAGAGGTGTTAGTTCTTATTTAAGATTGGTGAGTTGGTTGCTCGTGAGGGAAAGTTGAAACTGTTAACACAGAATTTCTTGTTTGCAGACGTAATAATTTATTTTCTATTATGCAACAGATAGTTTGATTTATTACGATCAATATTCGACTATATATTACTAATAGAATTTTTAAAGATTTATTGGAAAGACTTAACAATAATGAGACACTTAATTTATGTAAAAGATTAACATCATTTCAACTTAAAATTTTAAAATAATATACAGGAATCTTTTTATAAGTAACTTTCTGATATCTATTTAAAATTTAAAATGAAGTTTAGACTCACGTTTAAATTTTAAAAAATTATAATTAAAATATAAAAATCTTACACATTGTTTAGAAATCAATAAATAAAAACATGATTCACGATACATTAATGAGACAAAATGAATGTTAAATTCGCCCACCTATACCTCAAATCATGTCTATAATATAATCTTTATCAGAATTAAAAACACTATTAAAATTGTTTTTAAAAGAGTATACTAATGAAAACAAACTTTAAAAAGAGAGAGAATAAAATTAATCATTTTATAAAATCTAGATAAATTTGATAAAATGTATAAAAATCTTATATATTCATTTTTTCTCTCTTTAAAAAGTACACCAATTTTATCTGATTAATTATATACTAATGGCATACAAAATTTCTTCTCCACTTAATTACTATATATTTAAACAGATTTTTAAGAGTGGCAAAGAATATCTAAAGAAAATACACTAGTTTAGTTGGACGAGATATGAAACATGATCTTCTAGGTATGAAAGATATAAAGTCCTTAAATGAATAAGATCAAATTATAATAGACACTAATGTTGATATGCGGTTGGTTATATGAATGATGAGACGTGGAGAATTTCAATTGTATGACTCATCTGGTATGTACACAATACCTATGATAAAATAATATGTAATTCGTTTCTCTCGTTTTATTTAATAATGGGTCTTTTCTTCCTGCACACCCCATAAAATTTGATATCTCCATTTTACCCTCTATTTAAATTATAATAAAAACCCTAGATTATAATCTTCCGATACCTCCTTTATTGTCTTCCATGTGTACCACATAGTACCTCCATCTCCATCTCCATCTCCATCATCAAGGTTCTTCATGCACCAAAGACACTAAATGGTATGCGAGGGAGGTGGAGGTGGGAACGGAGCTTCCGATGGCGTAACAGAAGAAAGCCTCCTGCAGTGACATGAATGTTGAGCTTTTGGCCAGGGCCGAGAATGAAAGTTGCATGGAGTTCTTGAGGGACATGGAAGTAGTGATGTGGAATTTGGTGGTGGTCTCTTGGTCGGAGATCGCGAAGAAGGTTCTCTAGACGCAGGGCATGGAGTTTGGCTCGCTGGAGCTCGTTAGTGTTGTTGTTAAAGGTGGGCATTGAGCTGAGGAAATCGGTGCAAAAAGCCTGATCTAACGGAGGTACGTCGTCGTTCTGCATGGCTTTAATGCAAAGGGATGGTAGCAGATTGTGGAAGTGGATGCATGGCTGTCAGGTTAAGTGAAAAACAACTTTAAAAGCGCATGTGGAAGATAAAATCCTCCATTACTTTTTTTACTGATATTTTAACAACTTTTACAATAATATATCCATATTTATTACATTAAACTAAATCTTTTTCTAAAACTTAGTTATAATTATAGAAAGGAAATAGTTTCTATAAGCAAATTTTACTCTTTGTATGTTTGATAAACTTAACAAACTTTATTGATGTATGAAATTAGGCATGATGAAAAATTGGAATTGTTTCTATTATATAATTGTAGTTATAGAAAAACAGTGAAAACCTTATTTTTACAATAATTTTTATGATGATTAAGATTGAAACAAGTTATGGACAATTGTAATGATATATTAAGTATCTAATCAATTTATACAATCACATTCTTTTATTTTACTTTTCTTTTTGGAAAGAGATTGGCCTATTTATAGTTCTTAAAACATAATTTTCCTGTCCACGAACAAGCTTGATCACCTTGTTCAAATGACTTAGTTTCTGTGTAAACTGGCCATGGGATACCATAAGTTATGAGAGATGATGCAGATTATCATCTTCGCGTCTACATTTGAGAAGCATTTCTACTACTTGACTCATTGTGGGTCTCTTCTCCTTTTCTTCTTCAACGCATTGCAGAGCCGCTCTCACCAAAGCTTCGATCTTATCTTCCTCATAAACTCCTTTTACATTGGGTTTCAATATTTCACCAACCCAACTGCATCCATTTTTCTGTTTATCTTTAAGCCACGCCACCATGCTGAGATGCTCTTTCTCCACTTCATTATCAGTGTAATCAACATCCTTTGTTGCACTCTTTCCGGTCACCATTTCCAGAACAACAATTCCATAGCTATAAACGTCAACTTTGGACGTGATTCGTTGGTTCAAAACCCACTCAGGAGCCATGTAACCTCTTGTTCCTCGTATCCGTGAAAAACTAGAGTATGTACTACTAGTATCATTTCTGTTTCGCAGCTTTGACAGCCCAAAATCCGCTACCTTTGGATGATAGTTAGAATCTAGAAGAATGTTTTGGGGCTTTACATCACAGTGTAGAATCCACTCCAAGCACTCCTCGTGAACATAAGCCAACCCTCTTGCCGTACCTAGTGCTATGTTAAACCTTTTGGTCCAGTCCAGTTCATCTGACTCCATATTTTCTGCTAGAGACCCTTGCTCCATGTACTCATACACCAAGAGTCTGTGTTTTCCCTCAGCACAATACCCCCACATCTCAATCAAGTTCATATGGTTAAGCCTTCCAATGCTGCTTACTTCTGCCAGGAAATCTTCTTCTCCTTGATTCGCATCCTTCAGTCTCTTCACAGCTGCAACTCGTTGATCCAACAACACACCTTTGAATACAACCCCTCCTGCACCCCTTCCTATCTCCTCACGGAACCCTTTCGTGGCTTGTTTCAGTTCAGAATAACTGAACTTTCTGAAACCAGTCATGGCCAAATGATAGACTCGTCTATCCACACCAGAATATTTTCTCTCCCTTGTTCTCACCAGAAAAAAACAAATCACAAATATGCATAAAACTTCGAACGCCCCCAATCCTCCTACAAACCAAAGCAAGAACTTAACATATCTGCTCTCATGAATCATGTCATACGCTCTCTCAAGCTGCATCGTGCTCAAACTCGAAGAACAATCAAGACTCTGCTCATGTGTGGATCCTTCAAAAGAATATGAACTATTTGCTGGAAGTTTCAGGTACAAATCAGCGTTGAAATACGGTATCTGATACGCATTCCGTAGCTGCAACTTTGGGTAACAAGTATAAGTGCCACTGCCAAAGACATATGTATACTGAATGCCTTTACAGTCGCATAATTGAAGGCATAACTGCTGACACTGATGGAGAGTGTAATTTGTCAAAATCCCATAGTCATAGCCATATAACTCCACGCGGCTTATATGCAAAAACCGAGACTGTGTTTTGTTGCAAAGAGTAGAGAATTTCGGTTCACATCCAAAAGACCAATCGTGATCATTCTTCCACTTGTACCCGGGAAGGCAAGAGCACTTCATACTAGAATTTTGGTGGTAAGAGCACAAACTGTTAGGGCCACAAATACCATGAATACTACACGGTTTTGCTTTGGCTTGCCACGTAACAGACCATTTCTCTCCTCCATTTCTGCGACTATGAACACGAATGTTTCCATCATGATCAAGCACTAATCTTCTTTGGATCAGAGTGCCATAATCGGAAGTCAAAAAAGAGAAATCATCTGAAGAACTGAAATTGCCAAGTGTGTCCATCACCGCAACTCTACTGTTGTTGTAAGTGGATCGTCCAGCGTCCAAAGTGGCCAACCATGGATTTGGCCAGTAAAGGCCAGAAACTTCAGGACCATCGTAAAGAAGACGAAGAACGTTGTCGTTGTCGAAGAACAAGGAGTAGAAACCGGAGGACTTGTTGCTCTCGCTTCTAGAAGAGACCAGCTTCGCGTATCTCGTGAACACTTGTTGAGGCAAAAGCGTGTCCGTAGGGAAATCAAAGCTCTGCCACAATACGACACCGCCACCCTTCGTTTCAAGCAGAACGAGGTTGCCAGTGTTGTCGAGAAACAGTTGCACAGACAACGGTGAAACGGTGTTTGTTGACCAAACGTGGGATTCGTCGGCGTCCCTTAAGGCGAGGTTGCCGTTGGGAAGAAGGGAAAGCTTCGAGCCCTTGCCGTTAACGGGGTAGTCACGGTTAGCCATCCATACGACGGTTGCATCCTGGGTTTCGCCGTTGGTTTGGGAGTACCAAACAGCGAATGAATATGCGTTTTGGCCAACTGCATAGAAACCGGCACAGAAGATGGCATTTGGTGAGAGCATGAAATCGTTGGGGCCCTCCACTAAGAGGGATGAACCTTGATGCAGGATTTCTACTGCTGAAGATGAAAGTTGCATAGACATAACGAGAGAGAGAAGGATGAACCACATGGTAACAATTCAGTGAAAAGTATTCCACCGTTAACAATAATCTACCTTCATCACTCTCAACGCATATATATTTCTACTGCCTGTAATTGTGTCCACTAAGGTATACGCTTTCATTTTATATAGAGTTTCAAGTCCCTTCATCTCATCAGCTGACTATTGATTTAGCTTCATATTCAAATAGTTGCTTCGTGGTTTTGGCATTGGCTTCCTTCTGCTTCCTTGCGCAGACTCTTTGATAGTGATAATTATGTTGTCATCAAAAGAATCATAAGATGTATTGACAATATTTTTCTCTTACATGTCACTGTCGTCTTTTCAAGTCAACCATCAAGGAATTCAGTATTTTGGAATAGTCTGATAAATACAATCATAAATTAGGTTTTTCACGAAAGTAGGCAAATATGCCTTATTTATTATCAAAATGGGCAAATTTTGATCCAAAGTGAAGTCGTGGGGTCAAAACGACTTCAAATGAAGAAGTCGTGACCCCCCTGCACGACTTCACACTGTTCACGGCTACAGTGGTGAAGTCGTGCACCCCAAAAACGACTTCTGGGTCCTGTAATCGATTACATTGAATTGGTAATCGATTACAGAGTGTTGAAACTAAAGGACTTGAAATGAGTAAGCAGAAAATGCACTGGTAATCGATTACGACATTTCGTTAATCGATTACCAGGGTTGTTGTGTGGCAAGAAGCACTCTGGTAATCGATTACAGGTTTTTCGTAATCGATTACTTGTGTGTTTTTGATTGGTTTATGAAATTGATTTTGCATTTTACATATGTTATGTATTGGTTGTGTTATAGGAAAAGAGAAAATAAATATTAATAAGAANAAAAAAACTTTTAATGATATTAAAATGTGTGTAAGCGCACACACTAAAATAACTATTTATTTTAAAAATCAACTTACTTTAAAATAAATATCAATATTAATATTTTTAAATGATAGTATTTTACATACTAAAACTAAAATATATTTTTAAACGTTAAATTTTATTAAATGAATATATAATGAAATATCATAAAAAAATAATAATGTAGCAAAAATAATTAATATTATAGAAATATCAAATGACAAAAGAATTAACAAACGTTTATTAAGAGTAATTTTTCTAGTATCATCTTTTATTATATTATAATAATTAATAAATATTAGTTTAATTTTTACATAATAAAATATAAATAATAAATAATTAATTAAAAAAAAATTTACGAGGGAATAAAATAAATATAAATAAAAAATTATTTTAAAATAAAATAAGTAGATAAAAAGATAAAATAAATTATATACACATATAAAACAAAAAAAATATAAATAAAAAATTAAAAAAGTAAATATAAAAGTAAAATAATATTCATGACAAAATAAATATAAATAATAAATAATAAATAAATTAAAATAAAATAAATAATAAAATAATCTTCATACACATATAATAATAAAAGAAATATAAATAAAATAGAAAATAATAATATCAAATAATTAAAAAGTTAATTTGTAAGACACTTATGAATAAAATAAAATAAATATTAAAATAAATTTCAATTAAAAAGAACATGTATTTTTATACTATTCAGTTTAAAAACTAGTACAATTCAGTTTAAAAACTATTACAATTTAGTTTAAAATTAGTATAATTCAGTTTAAAATTAGTATAGTTAGTAGTTCAGTTTAGTTTATATTGTAGTTTAATATAATTTAGTATAGTTCAGTTTAGTCCAGTTTAATAAAACAAAAATCAGTTTAGTTCAGTTTGTTTGAACTGTTTTACAGCTTAGTTCAGTTTATACAAATTAGTTTTTAGTTAAGTACAGATTTTAATAGTACAGGGCAGGGTAAAAAGTGTTAATGAAGAGATATTATACTGAAGGTGAAAATTTATTATTTTTTCTATAAAAATAAAATATTAATAAATGGATATTCGAAGTAAATACAAATACATATTATATTAGTTGATTGACTATGGACAAGTATACGAAAGTAGAAGACAAAAATACGAAGACAAATAGAAAATGAAGCTGATTTTGAAAATGATTATTATAAGCATTAACAGCCGCCTTAAATTGACCCAAATTTTGCAGTGGAGGATGGTTTTAGTTGGATGCTCGTGGTCTTCACGAACCATCACACTCTGTTTTGTAGTTGGAACTCAGATTTTACCAATAATGGTGAAAACATACATTTGACGGATAAGAATGTTATATTCACATATTCTTGTCTTATTTTTCTTTATATATTTTTAGTTTAAATACTTTTTTTATTCCAATTTTCGTTAAAATATTTCAAATTATTCTTCAAATAAATTTGTTCCTAATTTTCGAAAAATTAACGTAATGGTACCTACTGTTTTAATTTCTATACTTTTACTCGTAGTAAAAGTATCGAATTCGTTTAAAGAAATAATTAGCCTTTTAAAAAGTAGAGTTTAAGAGGTGTTAGTTCTTATTTAAGATTGGTGAGTTGGTTGCTCGTGAGGGAAAGTTGAAACTGTTAACACAGAATTTCTTGTTTGCAGACGTAATAATTTATTTTCTATTATGCAACAGATAGTTTGATTTATTACGATCAATATTCGACTATATATTACTAATAGAATTTTTAAAGATTTATTGGAAAGACTTAACAATAATGAGACACTTAATTTATGTAAAAGATTAACATCATTTCAACTTAAAATTTTAAAATAATATACAGGAATCTTTTTATAAGTAACTTTCTGATATCTATTTAAAATTTAAAATGAAGTTTAGACTCACGTTTAAATTTTAAAAAATTATAATTAAAATATAAAAATCTTACACATTGTTTAGAAATCAATAAATAAAAACATGATTCACGATACATTAATGAGACAAAATGAATGTTAAATTCGCCCACCTATACCTCAAATCATGTCTATAATATAATCTTTATCAGAATTAAAAACACTATTAAAATTGTTTTTAAAAGAGTATACTAATGAAAACAAACTTTAAAAAGAGAGAGAATAAAATTAATCATTTTATAAAATCTAGATAAATTTGATAAAATGTATAAAAATCTTATATATTCATTTTTTCTCTCTTTAAAAAGTACACCAATTTTATCTGATTAATTATATACTAATGGCATACAAAATTTCTTCTCCACTTAATTACTATATATTTAAACAGATTTTTAAGAGTGGCAAAGAATATCTAAAGAAAATACACTAGTTTAGTTGGACGAGATATGAAACATGATCTTCTAGGTATGAAAGATATAAAGTCCTTAAATGAATAAGATCAAATTATAATAGACACTAATGTTGATATGCGGTTGGTTATATGAATGATGAGACGTGGAGAATTTCAATTGTATGACTCATCTGGTATGTACACAATACCTATGATAAAATAATATGTAATTCGTTTCTCTCGTTTTATTTAATAATGGGTCTTTTCTTCCTGCACACCCCATAAAATTTGATATCTCCATTTTACCCTCTATTTAAATTATAATAAAAACCCTAGATTATAATCTTCCGATACCTCCTTTATTGTCTTCCATGTGTACCACATAGTACCTCTATCTCCATCTCCATCTCCATCATCAAGGTTCTTCATGCACCAAAGACACTAAATGGTATGCGAGGGAGGTGGAGGTGGGAACGGAGCTTCCGATGGCGTAACAGAAGAAAGCCTCCTGCAGTGACATGAATGTTGAGCTTTTGGCCAGGGCCGAGAATGAAAGTTGCATGGAGTTCTTGAGGGACATGGAAGTAGTGATGTGGAATTTGGTGGTGGTCTCTTGGTCGGAGATCGCGAAGAAGGTTCTCTAGACGCAGGGCATGGAGTTTGGCTCGCTGGAGCTCGTTAGTGTTGTTGTTAAAGGTGGGCATTGAGCTGAGGAAATCGGTGCAAAAAGCCTGATCTAACGGAGGTACGTCGTCGTTCTGCATGGCTTTAATGCAAAGGGATGGTAGCAGATTGTGGAAGTGGATGCATGGCTGTCAGGTTAAGTGAAAAACAACTTTAAAAGCGCATGTGGAAGATAAAATCCTCCATTACTTTTTTTACTGATATTTTAACAACTTTTACAATAATATATCCATATTTATTACATTAAACTAAATCTTTTTCTAAAACTTAGTTATAATTATAGAAAGGAAATAGTTTCTATAAGCAAATTTTACTCTTTGTATGTTTGATAAACTTAACAAACTTTATTGATGTATGAAATTAGGCATGATGAAAAATTGGAATTGTTTCTATTATATAATTGTAGTTATAGAAAAACAGTGAAAACCTTATTTTTACAATAATTTTTATGATGATTAAGATTGAAACAAGTTATGGACAATTGTAATGATATATTAAGTATCTAATCAATTTATACAATCACATTCTTTTATTTTACTTTTCTTTTTGGAAAGAGATTGGCCTATTTATAGTTCTTAAAACATAATTTTCCTGTCCACGAACAAGCTTGATCACCTTGTTCAAATGACTTAGTTTCTGTGTAAACTGGCCATGGGATACCATAAGTTATGAGAGATGATGCAGATTATCATCTTCGCGTCTACATTTGAGAAGCATTTCTACTACTTGACTCATTGTGGGTCTCTTCTCCTTTTCTTCTTCAACGCATTGCAGAGCCGCTCTCACCAAAGCTTCGATCTTATCTTCCTCATAAACTCCTTTTACATTGGGTTTCAATATTTCACCAACCCAACTGCATCCATTTTTCTGTTTATCTTTAAGCCACGCCACCATGCTGAGATGCTCTTTCTCCACTTCATTATCAGTGTAATCAACATCCTTTGTTGCACTCTTTCCGGTCACCATTTCCAGAACAACAATTCCATAGCTATAAACGTCAACTTTGGACGTGATTCGTTGGTTCAAAACCCACTCAGGAGCCATGTAACCTCTTGTTCCTCGTATCCGTGAAAAAC